CCAGGGATGAGTGCACATTTGTTTCCATCTGCATATGCCCACTGGGACTTTCAGGGTCACTCCTCAGAGGTCATTCCTTGACACCTCCCAGCTTTCTTCTCTCCCCCTGCCCCCAGACAACTGGCACCCTCATTTGCTTAACATTTGCATACATCAACAAGCTTCTCTGGAGAAACGTTAATGCTAACGAAATCCACAGTGTCAGTCTTCAAATCCCAAATCATGTAAAGCAGGGAACTCCCCCACACACACACACACACACCCAACACACATGCCTGACCTCACCTGACATTCACTCTCTAGAATCATGAAGAACCAGGCTGTCCGGGTTCTGGCAGTCCACAAGCACCTGACCACTGCTCTGCCTCCCTCCAACTTCAGAAGGTACCTGGGACTCACCCTGCTTCTAGATCCCACATCTGTCCCCTGGCCTGTGTGCTGTGTCAGTTCCCCTGGGAGCTACAGGGACTGACTGGGTGCAGATCCTGCCAAGCGACTCTGTGCCAGCAGAGCACATAGAAGAAGCCTGCCCATTTGGGGAGCCCAGTGTCTGAGCATCTCCCTCAGTCCCCTTCAACAGCCAAGAAGGTGAACCAGGAAAGGTTCCCCTCTGCCCTTTCCAGATGCTTGTGCCCATTGTTGGGCCACCTCTGGGGTGGTGGTCCTGGGTTCTATAAGAAAGCAAGCTAAGCAAGCCTCGAGGAGCAAGCCAGTAAGCAGCACCCCTCCACTGCCTCTGCATCCTGCCTCAACGTTCCTGTCCTATTTGAGTTCCTGTCCTGACTTCCTTCAATGATGAACAGCACTTATGGAAGTGTAAACAAACCAAACAAACCCTTTCCTCCCCAACTTGCTTTTTGGTTATGGTGTTCCATCACATCAACAAAAACCCAAACTAAGACACTGGGCGAAGTGCCAAAGGATTCTCAAGCACAAGAGGAGGTGGTGGCTTCTGGACCATAATGTGAGTGCAGGACAGTTGCAGGCCCATCTGAATCCCTGGGTTGGACTTACATGAGAGCTGTGGGGTCAGGTTGTGGTTTTCCTCAGAGTGGAGGAAACCAAGCACTGGGTTTCACTAGAGAGCGCTTTAATGGAGTCTGATAAGTGATTGAGGTGAGGAATTGGTTCTTGGGAGTGAGAGGGGTTTCCTAACTCCTGCAGGGACAGCTGTCTACAAGCTGGTCCCTCACCTGTCCAAGTATCCCAGTGCCTGGAAACTCAACACACTCCTTCCGCAGGCTGCCCTCACCACAAAAGAGGTTTCAGAAAGGGTCAGAAACATGAGAAGTGGTGTCCTCCTGTCCACAGACCCCAGTCCAGTTCTCAGTCTTTGAAGGATGTCGTCTCTCCACCATCATCCTTCCAACGCCATAGGCAACAGCACCCTGTTCATCCTCTGCTTCTAGCCTGACACTGAGGTGGCTGTCCACTGGCCTCTGGGTTTTCTCCAGACCCCTGTCCCAGTGGGCCAACCAGCCACACAACCCATAAGAAGCACTACACAGTTTCCAGGTGCCTTGGGTCGGACCACATCATGGCCTCCTAAACGAGTATCCATCCAACATACTACCCAACCAATCCTGTTCCTCCTCAGAGAACATTCCAGTGCATAAGATGACCCTATCACTCACCTCTTAAAAATCTCTCAGGGGTCCCCAGTGCCCTTGGGGAAGAGTCAACTTCAGCCCTCATTCTCTGTGGGCTGCATTTTCTCTTTCCCCCTTGCCCTGCCCCCACACCTCACACTCCTCTCTCAGGCCTCTCTTCTCCCCACATCAGCAATACCCTTCTCCACCTAGAGATGATACATTCTGAGAGACTGTCCTCTCTCCAGCCTCTAGTCTGATACAAGTTCGATCTGTTTTGATGGTACTTGATGCTTCAGGGATGATCAAGTGGATGAAGTTCTAGATGTAGGCAAGAGCAAGTAAAGAATTAAAGCAAAAGGACCCTCAGCCAAGCGACCTCATATAACACTATCCATTTAGAGTGTACCCTCTTATGTGACACTGAAGACAAGGGATCTGTCCAAAAATGTTTAATGTGAGTCTGATCAGGAGCAAGAGAGAAGACAAATCCAGAACATGAGAGTTTCTACACAACTCCAAAACTGACAAAGACATAAAACAGCATAAGAAAAAAAAAAAACTTGTAAAAAGTCAGGTGGTAGCCCTTCCTGCCTCCTCTGCCGCCAAAGCACCCATCCTAAAGAAGATGGAATCACAGATGCTGCCAATTTTGAGCAGTGCCTCCAGGAGTAGGCTCAATGTGAACAGGAAAGCTGGGAATCCTGACAGAGGGGCTGTGATCATCAGATGGAGCAAGAGCAAATTCACTGTCTCTTCTGAGGTGACAGTGATCTTCAAAGGGTATTTGAAATATCTCACCAAAAAAACATTTGAAGAACAACAATCTCAGACACTAGTTGTGTATTGTCACCAACATGAAGGACAGTTACGAGTTACATTACTTCCAGATTAACCAGGATAAAGAGGAGGAGGGTGATGAGGATTAAGACACATTGGTCTGGAAGGTTTTATATTAATTCATAAATAAAATTTAGGAACACACACACACAAAAAAAAAAAATTCAGATGATTAACTGAGCATGGTGGAGCATGCCTGTAATCCCAACACTTAGAATGTGGAATCAAAGGCCAGGCGTGGTGGTGCTCGCCTTTAATCCCAGCACTCGGGAGGCAGAGCCAGGTGGATCTCTGTAAATTCAAGGCCAGCCTGGTCTACAAAGCAAGACCAGGACAGCCAAAGCTACACAGAGAAACCTTGTCTTGAAAAGAAAGAAAGAAAAAAAAGGAAGGAAGAAAAGAAGGAAGGAAGGAAAAGAAAGGAGAGGAAAGAGAGAGAGATGGGTAATCAAAGCTCAAGTTCATCTTTATTGCTGCACAATGAGGCCAGGCTGGGCTGCATAAGAACCCTGTCTCAAAATAGAGGAGGGGAAATGAGATTAATCCAGAACTAAAATATAACTAAACATAGTGTATAATAACTAAATATAGTGTGTGTTCCTTGATCAAACAAAAGATTTGTAGCCAGGTGTGGTGGTACATATCACCATACTCAGGAGGCCAAGGCAGGCAGATCTCCATGAGTTCAAAGCCAGCCTGGTCTACATAGCAAGATCCAGGAAAAACAGAACTACATAGAGACCCATCTCAAAAAACAAACCAAAACAAAAAAAGATCCATAACAGACCCTTACAAAAGTTGTTACCAGAGCCACAGAGAAACTTGAATTCCTTAGGTATGGTAATAGTTGCAGGGGGAAAATATCCTTGACCGGGGGAATTCATGCTGAAATAGTTTGAGGTGATATGTTATAAAACCTGCAACTTACAAAAGAAGGAGAGAAGGGGAGGAGCAAGCAAGGCCAGATGTTGGCCGTGGCAAATCTGGGTCTCTGGGTGAAGGGGGTGTGGGTGTGTGCGGAGTGTGTCAAAATAGAGTGAGGCGGGATAGTGGAAGCGGTGCTGAAAAAGGCCCCAAAGAGCGTTGCTGCAGTCCGGGATTCTGAGCAGGAGGCGAAGAAAAGGATGCAGTCTCGAAGCAAACTGGACCACGGACTTGCCTTGGCCCAGATACCAGCCGCCCGAACATGCGGGCACAGCTCAGGACTCACCACTGTGAGCCGAGCTCAGTGAGGCACAGGGCTCTCAGGACATGGCCAGACCCCAAAGAGACCAGCAGGGCCTATCACAGCCAGGGCAGGACCTTCCCTCTTGGCAAGGAGCCGGGTGCAGCCCTAGATGCACCCCACCCCCAAACATCCCTTGAAGGGTGACAGTCTGAGTATATCCTCCGGTATAAGGAGCCAGGCTAAATATGGAACCCCAGACACAAGATGCTTCTCAAAACAGATTTTCCTGGAAAAGACCATCTGGCAGAGGAGGTCTAGAGCCTCGTCTGCGAAGAGAGGCAGCTTCGGTCTCTGCAGGCTGTCCAGAAGGAAAATGCCTTCACTTCAGCTCCCCAGGAGACCCCAGTATCCTGCTTCAGTATCCCCCAAGGTCACTCCTGTGCAGATGGGCTCAGGTCCACCTCTGTCCTAGGCTGTTGTTCCAGGACAGAAGAGGAGGGGGCAGGAGACACAGGTCTGAGCCTCAGGAAGTTCTGCCCAGGAGAACATCCTACCTCCCTCCACAACTGCTCCCAGGGCCCAGAGGCCTCTCCATCAGAAGAGGGGCAATACTGGTATCTCCCTCCCAAAGCTCATGGCTACCCACACACAGCAGCTGTGCTCCACCAATGGAAGCAAGGCGTGGTGACATCTCCAGGCCCTGTCTTTCAGTTTTGTGGGAAGTAGAAAATTCTCTCTCTCCCTTGAGAAATGGCCCTAGATCTGCTTAAGATACATGTCCCTTCCCCAGTAATGAGCAGACAGGGCAAGCCAGCAGGAAGGAGACCTCCTAGTCTGGCCCAGAGCACTGCGGGGCTCTAGGGAGCAATCACCTGGGCACTGAGATCTCCATCCCACAGGAAGTACCAGTGGGGTGGAAGTACCAGAAGCCTTCCAGGAAGACCTGAACTAGCTCAACCTCTAGGCGGGGTGCACCCACCTTCGCACACCAATGTGTTAGGCTCTGGCCATGCCTGATAGGCCTGTTGTTCCTACCAGGACCAAACACTGTTGTAGCCCCACTCAAAACCCACTGCCTGGCACCATGCAGCCGGAGAAGAGGCTTTGGGGCAACAACCTCTCCTCTAGACCCCTGAGTGGACAAGAAGAGTGGCTGACCCATTGTCTTGATTTGTAGATCTCAGGCCACAGAACTTCTGGCTTCCTGGGGAGGAAGGTTATCTGTCTTGGGGGTGGGGTGGGCTTGGAAGGGACCCCCATGCACCTTGCCCACTATCCCTCAAACTAACTGAGCGTTATTCATAAAGCAGCTCTTGTCTCCAGGCTCTGGAGAGGACCTAGGAAAACCCCAATGTTAGCCCCAGGCCTACTCTCCTGCACCAGCCCAACCCAGCGCAGGCTACCTGGTCTCTGTCACCTTAGCCAGGCTTGTCCTGAGCTGCCAAGAGTCCTGTGCCCTCTTGCATCATAACTGTTGCATCTGCCTCCAGATCTCTTCCTGTCCCGGGCAAGATGGACCTAAGACAAAGGGGTGGGCATTGGGCAGTGGGCCCAAGGTCTTGTGTAGAAACAATGCCCCAGTTCTTATTTCAGAGAGTCCCAGATCCTCTAGGGACATGAGTCTAGGAGAGGGACAGCTGGAGAGGGTGGTCCCCACATCTGGCTTCCCTGCCCCACCCAGCCCCAGCACCTAGTTCCAAAGACCCCTCCCCTCAACACTGCCACAGCCATTCTGTGAAGCCTGGCCTTGCCTACTGCCTGCCACGCCCCCATGCGAAGCCCTGCTCTTGCAGAGACAGAGAGGCCTGAGCTCCAGGCCTCCTTGTCAAAGTTGGGAAACTGCAAAGAGAAATAAATCCTCAGAGATGCTCCGTTGTGGAGGCAGCTGTGGCAGGCCCTCGGCACACAACACCCCAACCACGGACCAAACTGACACTGGCACCCCACCAACGCACACAGACCCTGATTATACAAAAGGGGGAGGGACCGGGAGGCAGAGCCCAGGAGACAATTGGGCCCGCGGCCCCGTCCTCCCTGCAGGGGGGACTGGGGCTCTTGGCGGTGTCCCCACTCCCTGGCCCAGTCCTGACCATCTTGGGCTTCCTCTCTCTGCCCCATCTCCATGACAACCGCATCCTTTGGATGCTCCAGCCACCATGGAATTGATCTCGAAATGTAGCTTTGTTAGCAGACCCTAGCGGGCAAAAAAGGGCGGAGGGCGGCTCCCGCCACCCAGCCTGTGCTCCTCTCCCACCCTGAGCCCCCTCCCAGGGTCTATCTGGCCTCCTGAGGAGAGGGGCGGGGTCCGGGAGCACGCAGGCCTTGGGGACACAGTTGGCCCGCGGCCCTACTCACCGCCCCGGTCCCAGGCGCTGGGTCCGCTCTCACGGTGGGGCCATGCGGAGGCCACCCCTGGACCCGCGGCCCCGTGCCGCCGCCTGTTGGAGCTCCCCGCGTCCGCTTTCTGTCCCCTCAGGTGTTGGAGCCTCGGCCGTGGAGAGGCTGAGCAGAGAAGGAGGGGACGGACTGCAGGAGGGAGGGAACAGAGCCGCGAAAGAGGGAGGGAGGAGCGGGAAGGACGAGAAGGGCGGGAGGGGAGTCGGGGGTGAGGGGAGGCTGCCGGCGCGCGCGCAGCCCGGAGGGGACGGTGGCCACCAGGAGGGCCCACCCGCCGCGCCTGGCCACAAGCGCCCGACCTTGTGCTGGACGCCCACCCACCACCGACACCCATCCGCTCCGGCCTGAGGTGGACCCTTTAAGAAAGTGGGGGAGGGGAGTTCGGCAAGGTTCCGCCCCCCTCCTAGCCCAGCCCAGCCTCTGTCCTCGAACCCCTGGCTGACCCAACCACTGTCCCTCAGAAGAGCCCACTGTCCCAACTACCCCAATCCCTGATGAGCCAGACCATTCTCCAGGTGAAGGAGGGACGGCCCTTGCCCCCACCCCAGAATCCCCATTCTCCTCCTGGGAGATCTCACCCTGGAGTTTAGAGAGCAAGGAAAAGAGGGTCACAGAGGGAGGCAGGCAGACTCGGGGAGGGGGAGTTGAGGACGGAGCTGGAAGGGGTGGAAGGGAAGAGACAAAAGAGAGGCCCTGCCTCAGATGGGAGCGGAGATCCGGCCATCCTAGGCTTGTAAAGGTGAGGAGGACAGCACTCTCTCAGAAACCATCTCTCCAAGCAAAGCACCTGGCCTTGCCTCTCCTCCGGCTAGTTGTGACCTCAAAGGCCCCCACCCTTGCCCCGGGACTGCAACTTCCCGGAGGAAGCTTGACCAGCTGTACCTGGACTACACGCTAAGGACTTTTGGCTGTAAATCTACAGAGCAAGATCCTCCCTCAGAGAGACACCACAGGGCTCCAGACCCTGGGGGGGGGTGTGAGGAGACCATGGGTGGGAGGACGAGGAAAGGGTGAGATGGCCCAGTCCTGGGAAAAGTGGAAGACCAGAAGCTACCACAGGAGGCCACTCTGAACCTCCTTCCCTCTGCTTCAGGCCCCAGGTTCTGTTCACCAAACCCAGTATGTTCCCATCTTTGCAAGGGTTCTACCCTATGCCTGCAGTGGTCCATGAGGTTCAGTCAACCCTCACATCCATGCTTTGAAATCCACTTCTACCAGGAAGCCACCCCTGATCTCTGTGTCTATGTCTGTCTGTGTCTGTCTGTCTGTCTGTCTGTCTGTCTGTCTCTCTCTCTCTCTCTCACACACACACACACTTGGATTCTTCCCGGGACAGAGAGAAAGGACTTACTAGCCTATGAGAGACACCTACCCAAGTGTCATCCCCCCTCATCAAGCTGGAGTTGGGGTTTCATCAACCACGATGACCCTTCTACTACCACCTGCGCGTCTGCCACAGTCTCCTCGAATGCTTTCCCCGAGTCCTGTCTGACTCAAACGGTCCTACGACCCATTTTAGAGATAAAACCCACTGATGATGCTCCACGCACAGACTTGGCTTACCCCGGGTTTCAGGAGCCAGATGAGCAGTTGAGACTTTCACCACCCACTTCAGTCACTCCCCTCTGCCTGCAGGAACCTCAGACCTTCTTCCCGAGCGAGCTGAGAGGACCTGAGCCCACTACTGTCCTGTAGATGAGGAGGGTGTTCGTGGCTGGGGCTCAGGAGGAGGTAGAGGGAAGCACCAGCCATTCCTTACTGCTCACCCTCCCGGGTCAAGGCTGGACCACCATTGTAGGCTCTCACTTCATCTGCCCCGTGCAGATGGTAGCAGACCTTGACTCGTGGGGCTGGATGAGGGGACAAAAGATGCTGAAGAACCGTGTGCATTCAGTGGGCTATGGCTAGTCTACCGGTAAGGATGGCTTGCTGGGACAGGAGACGTAGCTCAGTGGTTAGAGGGCTTGTCTAGCATCTGAGCATGCATGGGAGCCTCATGGAAGTGGCTCTTCACTTTTGTCTCCCGCGGACTGAGGCCTGTAAGATCAGGTTTGCCTCGTTCACAAGTATCCCAGTACCTATACACAGAGCAGGGAAGAATGGCATGGAGACAGGGGCACACGTGGTCCCCTGATATGGGCATAGCTAGCTTCTACCCTCAACTTGCCACTCCTGCCCTTTGAAAGGTGACAGACAGGACAGTGCCCTGTCCAACAGCCCAATGCACCAAGCTCCCCCCTCCTTCAGCACAAAGAGAGCCAGCAGCTTGGGTCCCTTTTCCTCTTCCTCTCTACCCACCTTACCTGAGGGGTCTCGGGTGTCAGGTGAGGCTTTGCAATGACCAAGAAAAATAAGGGGAGGCTGTGCTGAGAGCATTCTCCAGGCAATCCCGGAGTTCTCCTTCAGTGCTCCCGCCATGCACCCTGCCTCAGCTCATCCCTCTCCAGCCCCATACAGACAAAGACTCTAGTCCGCCTGTCCAGCCTCCGCTCTGGATGTTCCCCAGCCATCCAGAATGAGCTCACCTTGCCTTGGGGGCTCCGCACCCACCTCCTTTCACCCCACCCCCACCCCAGTCCCAGCTCTCCATCCAGTGTCCTCATTCCTCTCTGTAGGATGAGAGCTCCTTGAAAGCTGTCCCTGGCAGCTGTCTCGGATTCCTCTTTCTTAAAGAACTCTAGTTCCTTTCTTCTTGCCTGGACTGAAGGGAAGGTTGTGATCTGGGCTCACAGCCGTGGGGGGCGGGGAGGAAGGCATGCTGGCAGGAGCTTGAAGCTGCTGGTCAAACTGCAACGGCCAGGAAGCGGAAAGATGGATACCGATACTTGGCTCTCCTTCGTTCTTCTCTCCTGCAGTTCAGGGCCCCAGCCGATGAAATGGTGTTGTTCACACTTAAGGTGGCTCTTCCCACCTCTGTCAACCCAGCCTAGAAATTCCCTTCCCGGCATGCCCAGAGATGTGTCTCCTAGGTGAGTCTACATCCTGTCAAGATGGCTGTCAAGATGGCCGTCCAAGATGGCCGTCGATATTAGCAGAGTCTAGTCCAGCTCTCATCCCTTCTGCCCCCACACAATTCGTGACCCCGTTCATCAGAATCAGCGGCACAGCCTAGTACAGGTATGCAGGCTGAGTGGTGCACAAAGAGCTGGATCACCCTCCTCCCACCACGCTATTTTCCCTGACACAGGGAAAGACAACATTTCTTGCACCCCCAAGTAGATGAAGTAGGCATGGCTACCTCGACAGGCCCACCAGAAATTATACAAAGGTGCTGGAGGCTGACTGTAGCTTGGGCAGTGTGGAAATGCCAAGCTCATATCCAACAGGCAGACTTCTTTGTTCTCTGTATGCTTGACATAGTCCTTGGTCCGTGGACTCCATGTTTTCCTTCCAGGACTTCCTTAGTCATGCTTGCTGGTCCCTCATCTCTGTCTGACTCAATGTTTGGCCTTCCCCCGTTCTCTATTCCCTGGCGGTACGAACAGCTTCAAAGCCAAGCTAAATGCAATGAGTGGCAGAACGTGACCTCCAGCTCAGACCTGCATTCCTGCCTTACCTCAGCCCAGTGGAGTCCTCAACCCTCTTCCTGCTCTTCCACCTACCCAGGTCAAACCCTGGAAGCCATCATTTGTCTTCCTTTCTACTTCATCCAATCCCCAGATGAAGTCTGAGATAGCCCACCCATGTCCCAAGCTGGCCACTTCTGGTCAGTCCCCCTGGGACCAGGCCAGCCCAGCATCTTCTCTTCCCTCTCACTGTGGCCTCATACCTGGTTCTTCCCCACACCCCCAGGATTCACACACAGCAGCTGCAGGGGAGCTATGGAATGGACAGACCCCACAGTCTCTTGTTCAAATCCATCCAGCGGCTCTCTGTGGCTTGGTCCCACCACCACGCCATCTCCACATGGCCTCCGGGGTCCTCTAGTGTCTCTCTCCCAGCCCATCTGACAGCTCTCCTTCTCCAGACACATCAGCACGCTCTCTCATGCCACACACATCTGACCTCAGGGCCCTTGTCTGTGATGTGCCCCCTTCCTAAACGCTCCTGCACGGTCCAGCCCCTCAGCTCTCCCGTCGGCCCCCTCTTTCCCTCTGTCACCACCGACTCCCATCCACCCCCCTGCTCTCTTTCCTTCCACAACACATGCACACCTATTCTGTTCACTTACTCATTCTGGCCTGTCTCTCCCCATGCCACCTCGTAGAGTACAGGTCCACGGGAGTTTGAACTGAGTTCTCTTGCTCCCGTATCCCTGGGAGCTGGACTGGTGCCTGGCGACAAAGGCATTCAGACGATGAACCCATAAAGGGGATAAAGAATGAACCTATAAATACTAAAAGGGGCTTTGAAACAAAAACAGGAGCGCAAAAAAACAAAACAAACCAAAACAGGTGTGTGACGGGCCCTGACCTGTGGGTCTCCTTCAGCACCTGCAGGGAAGGCCCTTGGGAGACTTCCCCAGCCGAGGGAGGCACCCGTCCAGGCTCCAGGGGCTTCCCAGTCACAGCCTGTACCTCCATATTGTTTGGACAGCTGCTCCTTGGTTAGGCCCCTTCTCTCTTTTCTGAGTCCCCAGATCCACCGTGAGCCAAGAAAGCATACAATAGAAACCAAACAGTGCTGAACCAAAGAATAAATACAGGGCCAGGACCTCCACAGGGCCAGAGGAGGGAGCCCTCCTGACAGGGACCTAGGCAGGGAGATACAGAGGCTGGGCTGAGTCCTTGGAACCCCACAGTGTCGTCTGGAAATGGGAATACTACCTAAAACCTGTGTGGGGAAGAGGAAAGAGCCTTCCCACCGGACAGCCTCTGTCTGGGAGGCTGGGGGTGGGGAGGGGCAAAATGGCGCAGCCGGGAAGGGAGGCTGCAGAGGCTCCAGGTTGCCCCTCCCTTAGCAAGAGGCTGCTGCCAGCCCGGAGCCAGGACAGCGGACAAAGCCCCACAGCAGAGGGCCAAGGACTTGCGGTGCCTAGAGCCAGCAGGCCGTGGGCCCAGGGCACAGCGGTGCATGGCCCAGAACTCCATCTGAGGGCCTTTGTGGGCCTCTGGGAGCCTGTCCAGGAGAATGCAGGAACTGGCGATGTTGGGATGGGGTGGGAGCCCCCTGCTTCCTGGGGGCCTGAATAAGGAGTTCAGGGAGCACCCTCTCTGCCCTACCCCGTCC